CCATCCACTCGAATGTTCAGTTCAGTCATTGCTGACCGCAGTTTTGACATCTGTACTTACAACAGCATCGCGCGGGACCTCCTGGTCGAAATACAAGGCAAGGGTTCTCGTCAGAGGTGATGGGGTGGGATACTTTCATTGCTTGAAGTGTAGGGCCGAACGTACGGATTGTAGCGTACGTTACGGGCAGCAGTCGCCTTGCGAGGTGATTGGCACGGCATGAGTGAATTGCGATTCAGCTAACCTGCAACTGTAGTCTTTAAATCCTCTCAACTTCATCCAAGGCTGCATTTGGTATCTTGTCTCCAGCTACACATACTCGCTACACATACTCGCTTCCTCCGTGAGTGCCGCTTATCCTCGAGGTATACCAAAAAAAATAAGTCCCCTATCCCCACACAATAGCTTCGCCCGACTTAAAGCAAGTGACGTTGCCAAGGTCATCGAATTGCATATACATTTCTCCCACCTTTGCGATGGGAAACTCGGCAAGTTACCTCTCCAGCCCCAAAAGTGTTTGCGTGATGTGCGCCTCATACATTTGACCTCTATTTCTCGTGACTTACGTCTTTCGATGCAGTCGCAGGACTTCGTGTCAAAGATAGACTTCCCCAGCAGTCTAGGACCTTCGAAGGTGATGTCTTTCGTATGTAAATCAAGCTCGAGTTAACTCCTTACTCCACAGGACATCGACTCTCTAGCACTTGAAAGCAAGGGACCTTCTTTGAAGTAAATTCGACCTCGGTGACCTGGTCACCCCTCGAAAGCGACGTCTTCTCAATCTTATTCCACGGGCGACATATGTCAAGTTGCTACGCTATATTCCGATGCTACGGTAAAGTTTATTTTCAAAAATCGGTATCAGCGTTAATGAAGCTATAGCCAAAGATAATTCGCCACAACACTGATTTAATCAGCCCTACAATGAATCGCTTGTTCAGGGAAGCGGTATGGAATGACTCCTACACATAATTGTCTTTGCTGATTTTAGACTGTAGTCTGACATTTTCTTACAGCGTAAAGCGGAGGCTCAACTAGATCCCTTTGCCCTCCAACGTGTAACATCTCATAAACCGTGCAAGACCAAGACGTTCATTTGGTCCCTACCCGTGGAAATCCTCATCGCTACCGTCGCCCTTCTAGGAGTGCAAGATCTGCGCACTGTACACAAGTTTCTTCTCTGTTGAGAGAAATCGCTGCTCCGCTCTTCTTCCTCAACAGAAACTTCCCAACCTCCCCGAAGGATTTATTCCACATTCGTGTAGACCCGCAGAATTTTGACGTTCTGGCTACTTGGAGGCGAACGGATACTTTTCGTCCGCCGCGTATGGTGTTGAGTTGGCTGGATTCTGGTTTGCGATCCTCACAGCTATCCGCATTTTCCCACTTCCTCGAATCCGTCCCCCACAAATCGATACGATATATCACACTTCTTTGGAATTTTGACATTCTCACATCCCCGGTTCTCCCACAAATTGTTGCATTACTAGAAAGCATCCGTGCCTCCGGCGTCGAAGAGCTGACGTGCATGGGTTTTTGCGACGGGACAGTCTCATCGTCCGTCACCGGCCTTACCGAATTCAGCCGTGTGTAGGTGCGAACAACCTGAAAGCCTTTGAAACATGTTCGCGGGCATTCTTTTCCCCAAACGTCCTTCCTTTCACAATTCAAACCATCCGCCTTTCCCGCAGTTTGGAAAAGCTTCGACTGAGTTCCGTCAAGCTCAGTTCTGCGCATTGGGATAAACTCCTGCGCCATCTTGCGATTCCAACCCTTGTCGAACTCCGAGTCGATGCGGACTGTGCGCCATCCACGCTCGTTCGTTTTCTGGCCCGTCACCCTGCTATCACTAACCTCAGTGTCATCCCGCGACCTGGTAGTCCTTGGAGGGCCAATCGAATCACCACTCGTTTGAGTCTTTCTCTATCGTATGCTAGATGGACCCCCTTGTACATCTCCTCCAAGTCCTTGGAGTCATCGTACGCAACAACTCTTCGCCTGCCTTCATATTTCCTTACAAGCACATGATGCATCGCCCGACTACATCGCCTCCATTTTACAATGTATTGGCTATTGCGACAGAATCGGATATCTTGTCCTTTCCTTGCCTAAAAGTCATCCCAGCAGTAGAGCAATGATGTATTTCGGGCGCTCATTCTATGGTCAGCATCAAACACTTAGTGATTGACTACTCGGATGGTTTAGTCTCCGGTGCTGCAGGTGATACCTTGGTGTGTGTGTTGTTGTTGTTGCAGCATTTTCAATACTAATTGCGATCATAGGCGCTATCTGCGGCATGGATTCAAGCTCTTCCTAAAGTCAAGCGTTTTACTTTGCAAGGTTACTCAGCTACTACTGCCGAGGATCTTGTCAACATCATGCGTAGCTTTGCTGCGGGTGATGTTGAATTAGGTGTGGATGTGCAGGTCGCACCAAAATCATAATATAATTCACTATACTACATGTACATAATAATATGACCCATCGGGGTGAGCTGAGCGCCAAATTTAGGCGGAGTTTCATTACAAAGTCATTCAGTATTTAGACGCGTCTCGGTTGCTGACTGCCTTCTTTTCCGATTTCGATTGTCCTATACTAGCTGTAGTCCTGTAGTCCTGTACTGTAGTCATACTCGCACTGTAGTCAGTATGTATGATGATCATGAGCAACACTTAGCACGAAAGTCAGGCTCGTACTGATAATGAATGAAATACAAGTCGTCCGTCCGTTCGAATGTAAGTGCCAAGTACGTCTGTTATTCTCAGAAATTCTAAATTACACCCTGTATCTTAGATGGTTCGTTGTAATAACAACATGGGGCCTCGTCCGTTCAAATGTAAGACTTTCCCAATGCATCTGCGTTCTCAGAAATATTAATTTACACTTATACTGTAGATTCGGCACCTTATATCATACAGAAGCTTCCTTGTAATTTGGCATCGCCCTTAACAACAGGGCAATCCAGACGTGCTACTTGACGCTTTTATAGTGAGTTTATTCTTCCTACCTTGACTTTATCTACTCAAAGGATCAGATCAACAACTAGATGCCTACTCGCATGTTTCTTTGCAAGTGTGCGCGATGCTGCGACATTGGAGGGGACGGCGTGCCCTGGGAATCCTGGCGGCAAAGGAGTGCCCATCGCCATGAAAACTGTGCATTTATTGCAAGCTGCCAACTCGGATTCGTCGTCCGAACGTGAAACATCCATTGCTTCATCTCGCTCGCCAGCAGCTAGAGTCAAACGCTTCGCAGGTCGACATTCTCGCCGCCCGAGCTATTTGCCATCACGCTTACCGACAATGATACCAACCCAGACAGTCACAGCAAACTCTGGAATTCGCGTTCAGAAGTTCAGCAAGACAAGGGACAGATCTACCGTTCTCTGAACGGTACAACCACGGTAGATGACATGCAGTGAGTAGGATACCCCGCCCTTGTCCTTATTTTTTCTAACTTAGTGGTTCCCACAGACACATTGCTCGAGCCCTTCAGGCTGTTGAGCAGCAGGCGCCGTTCAAAATCTCAATTAGCCTTGAATATCGTGGAGTCACGGATAGTCAAGGCTCGCAGTCTGAATTTATCTGCGACTTCTCGTGTTGTTATTCAAACTATCCGAGAAGAACTGGCCGTGATCACGATGGCCCTCAGAAAAGTCAAGCACAAGGTCTCGTTTATCGTTTCCCCCAAAACCCAGCTGGAGTCGTCGTGTGATGACATGTACGGGCTCCTTGCCGACCAGGAAGATGAGCTCCCTCTGACATCTGAGCCAGTTCGAATTTGATTCCTGTGAGTTTTGTTTCATCCCTCTTGTGCCCTTCGACTGAGATTACGTGAAGCACACCATTTTCGACTTGCCAGTTGATCTCTGCGACGAGATAGCTCAGGTATCCCTCTTTCTAGGGGCCGTCTCGTCGTCATTTTTGGCATCGGTCGCAGACACGGGGAGTTCCTCATGGGAGTCCTTGCCCTCGTTTTTGAGCCTTGCTATGGATGCTCAGACCCCTCATTCTGAGTCTCGCCGTCAAAATATACTCTCTCAAATTCTCGCGCTCTATGGAAAACCACCCTTTCGCGCTTCAGTCTCGATGGCCAGACTACAACCTACGCAGTCTGTCCGGCATGCAACTGTACTTATAAACCGACCACCGGCCTCAACTCAGGTCATGTCCGGTTATCCCCGCGAAGTGCTTCAACAGCCCGATACCAGAGAATGGTCCTTGCGATGAACCGCTGTTGCAGCTCTCTCATGATGGCCAATTAGTGCCAATTAACATCTTCCTTTATCACCACTTCCACGACTACCTTGCTGGATTGCTCTCTCGTCCCGACCTCGAAGCAGTTGATGGATAAGCCTTGCGATGATTGCTGGCGTCCATTGGGAGCCCACCGCATATTATCAAGGATGTTTGGGATGCCAACTTCTTTCGTGATTTCCAGGGTCCTTCCGGGCAATCCCTATTTGTCGACAGAGGCGTCGAGGGTCGATACGCATTCACCCTCAACATTGATTTTTTCAACATTGAAGGCAATCTCCAGCGAAATGCTTCGACTTTCTACCGGCATCATCTCTTGTGCATGTTTGAATTCTCCCCCTCGAGATGCGATATAAACTGAGAACATGTACTTAGCTGGCATCATTCCTGGACCTTCAGAACCTTCGGGCAGATGAGCTGAATCATTTTTCTCGATCCTGTGGTTGACGACATGGTGGAAAGTTGGGAGCGCGGGATACGCTATTCTCGCACAGCTCTCCATGCTACTGGTCGGGTTACGCGCAGTCTCTATAGCGTTTCTTGTATGTGACCTCCCAGCGGTCGAGAAAGGCTGCTCAGCTGGCGGGTCCGACAAGCCACTTTTATTGCACTGCCTGCCATTGCTGGCACAGGTCAACTTGCCGGTAGAACAGATATCCAATCTGAAGATTGGGTTCTCAGGGACAAGAACGAAGTGCGTCGCTATGCTGAGCTCTGGAAGAACGACCGGAACTTCACTTGAACGCAACAAATTGTTTGCGTCGCACGGTGTGCGATGGTCAACACTCTGGAGGTTATCATACTGGGATCCCTCCCGTCAAATTGTTGTGGATACTATGCATTGTCTCCTTGAGGGTCTCGCACAAGCTCATTTCCGTGAATTTCTAGGCCTCACAGTTGACTCCGCCAATCGCAAGTTCGACGTTATCCTGCTTTCGAATATCCTTTCGTTGACGTCGATCTTAACAAACCTCCAGAGTTTAACGAGAAGGACATCAACGTTATCAAGTCAATCTATAGCCTTCTTACAGAAGCGGTCACAGACCTGGAGGGAGCTGACCTTCAGCTTGTCGAGGATCACCTTATTGACTTAGAGAGAAAGCTTTTGTCGAAAAAGGTAGCATGCCTTTGGTTCGTATGTATAGGCTTGGGCATCGGGCCAGAGGTCATGCACCCCGGCAAAAAAGTTTACAAAGTTCACTGGGGTTAGATCGCTCCTTGGTTGGGTAGGCATTTTAATACTGCTGTCTTCGTTCTCTCTTGATTAAGTGACCCATTTGTAGCGTCGAACACGACCTTTCTCTCCCGAGTCGTCAAATCACGTATTGCTACACCAGAAGTTATGCAACGTATTTCTGATGTCATTAAGACGTCAGATACGCCCTCATTTTTAAGATCAGTCCCCTATAACTTTGGGGAAACCAAAGCTGGGACCGTGAAGGCCGACGAATGGCGCACATTAACGACCGTATACTTACCCATAGCACTAGTCAGTTTATGGGGCGAGGGGTCGGCACAATCGCAACTCAGATATTGCAGCCAGTCGTCGTGCCATCCTTGATCACACGATGGCCCTTGTTTCTGCCATTCGTATCGCATGTCTGCGATCCATGACGAAGGATCGCGCAGACGCATACCGTACATATATGATCGATTGGATAGGGAATTTACAGGTAATACTCCCCCCTGCACGCCATCGAACCAATGGCCATATGGCGTTGCACGTTTGGGACTATCCTGCAACTCTTCGGACCCGTACGGTCCTGGTGGTGTTTTCCGTATGAGCGGCTCATCGGACAACTGCAGCGATTGCCTAGCAATCATATTTTTGGTAACATTTCAATTTCTTTGTCAATGATAGACATCTTATGCTATGCGGGTATGCAGGACAGCAAGAATCAACTCTCCTCCGGTCATACATCAAAGCTGCAAAGCTCAAATGCTGGCTGAACCGACCTTCTTGTCCTCCAATATTTAGAGAGGTCAAGTTGCTATTCGACAAATTTGTGTCTCCGTCGATCAACGCTAATCCCAGCGATGTATCTGAAAATCGCCCGCTGCCCCCCGACTACAAAAGAAAACATTCCAGAAGACCTTCGCCATCTCATTCAAGTTCGGCGGGCAGTCTTGGTTGCTCGCACGCTTCACGAGGGATTTGTCTACACTCGCGACTCCACTCATGTTGGCAACAGCCTGATTCTTTATTACCCTGACGGCCTTAGGAATGTACAACCGACACCAGGGACTATCAAATATATATTCGAGACCGAGCGAGGAGTATGCTTCGCCGTGCGGTATCACCTTCCATTGCATTCTCACCTCGATCCTTTCCGCCACTATCCTCACTTCCCGGCTCGTTTATTCTCGTCAGCACTCGCTGAACATCTCACAATTGTCATGCCGGAGTGGGTGGTGTCGCATTTTGCGCGGGTGGAACTTCTCACCACAGCATATTGTTGCTGTGTCTCTGAGTCAGGTGTGTTGCGTCCCCTCGATCTGATAATTGTTGTCGTAACTCACGCACCATCAATAGGACTGAATTATACAACAAAACCACTACGCGTAAGGCAGTGACATCTCCATGCCAGGAGAAGCGGGCACTGACTCCAAGATTTTCAATACATACATAAGGCGTTTCATTTTGCTATCTTGCTTTTTTATCATATACAGTACGATTTAACATTCATGTTCTGCACTCTCAATACATCTTCCCCCTTGACTCCACTCTCAATACATTACGTAGTGATCAAGTTCGAGCTACCTTCTCGCATCGATGTGGAAATATTAGAATGTTTGGGAGCTGACCCGAAGAATGATTAGGTCAAGCAAATGCACGCCCCCTAATGCCACTTACCATCCGGTAGAGATGCATTCCCGATATTGGTTTCTAATCGAGAACAGCTTCCTTGGCTAGAAGTGAAGAAAGAAATGACAGAAGAGAAAGGACTTTCTTCAGACGTCGCTGATAAGATTGGAGAGTATGTCAAGCACAAAGGTAGGCGACCCTGATTTTGCGCAGAGTTAGATATCTAATCCCTTTCGTCATACAGGTGGCCCGTCGCTACTCGATCTTTTGAAAGCAGATGCCACTCTCATGGCAAACCCGAGCGCCAAGCAGGGTATTTCAGATATGGATATTCTCTTTACTCTCCTGCGTGCTTACAAAGTGCTGGACAAAGTAGGCTCGTTTTTCGTGAATCAGCACATGACATGACACAGGATGAGATACAGCTCTACAAAAACAACCGCGGCGTCGGTACCCAGCGTCTCAAGAACAAACGCAAAAGAAATCTGACGAAACCAAGAGCGTCCAGTCAAGAAACACGCTGGTGACGTCGAAGTGGTCGTCGATCACTGTAAGCGTTTATTCCCCCGCTCAACCAATCATTAACGCCCCCTTCACAGATTATTTGCGTCCAGAGGTGGGCCTAAAACAGCGCAAGGAGTCTCCCAGCCCTCGCCGCTGCTGGTCCAGCCAAAAAACATGTCGCAACGCTGTTGAGAACGTGCCAGAACAGGTGAGTTGTTTAAACTTAAGATTTTACTTTGTCACCTATATCATCTACAGACGCTCTACTATCGCCGCAGACGAGACGGGATGTAAACTGGGTTGTTGGAGACACGCCAAAGGCACTAGACAACTTTATGCGGAACTGCACATGTACACCGGAGTGGTGCATGAAAGGGGCTCAATTGGTGCGCACGTGGAGGGGACGTCATCCTTAGACATACGCTGCCGCCGGGTAGCAGCTTTAGTGAGTGCCCCACGTCATACACGCTCCGGAAAAATCCGGACTGAGTTTCATTTCCGTTCTCTATATAAACCTCGTCTTGTCGTTACTGCAACCCTTTTTCCTGTTACTATACCATATCTGTAGGCGCGCACTTGTAAAAACGGTCCGGTTTTTTTGCCGTTACTATACCCATATACCAGTACATACATACATACATACATACATTATTCAATATCATGATCCTTGGTCGCGACGGAGGCGGCTCTGATGGGACTGTTGCTACTGTAGTCCACCCTGATAGCTCTACAGGGATCATCAGCCCTGCTGCAGCACCAATACTAGAACAGCCTGCTGCGCTTGCCTCGTCACTATCTATCACTGACACTCCCATCAAACGGGAAAGTTCCACGTTGCTACCCTTCACGACCCTGTCGCGATGTCGAGTCGATACGCTTAACTCCATGGGAAAGGAGATGCAAGATTATATCGTTGGCCCGATGCCGGTAAAGGACTTCATCGACAAGTTCCTACTGAACCCTGGAGATTATGACATCTTGGACTTCACTTCGCGCTTCGCTTCGGCCTCAGAATCCGATGTGTTCAATTTGCGATCAATTCAAAGAGAGCAGGACGTTTATCAACCATTCGTGAGTCACCTCGTACCTATAATATTGTGATTATTGACAGTCTTAAGTACAGATTAACGGCATGCAAGAATTCGCCCCTCAATTATCGTTTGTGAACACTTCAAAAAATGCAGATACGAAGAACTGCTCATCATTTACTTTCAATGTCATGCCGGACGTATGCGTATACGCCGATGGAACATCTGACGGCTGCGATATTACCAAAGCTGAAGTGCACATCGAATTCAAGTGGAATGATGCTCTCGACGCATTCACCAAAAATCCTGGAGTCGATAAGCCTATCGTTTCTCAGACTGATAAGGCTTTCGATACACTCGGTCAAATAACGAGCTATGCTGCCGCTCAGCTCGGTGCTCAATATCGTACCCATTTATTCTCCGTCCTCGTCATTCGCAATCGTGCTCGTCTTATCAGATGGGATAGGGAGGGGGCTATCGTCACGAACGCCTTCGATTACCAGCACGAACCTCACTTGGCCGATTTCTTCTATCGTTTCGCGCGAGCATCGCCTGCACTGCGTGGTGTCGATACTTCCGTGACGGCAGCTAGCGACGAAGAAGCTACCCTTGCAAGGACAGCATTAAAACTTGCCCCTACCATACGCATGTTCAAAGTTGCGGTCCCTCGGGATCCAGCTGTCGAAAACTCTGGCTGGTTGACCCTCATTATTCCCCAACCTGTTGCAAAAGGTTATCCGCTTGTTGGCCGTTGGACTCGCACGTGCCCTGCGTTTGACATCTTCAACAAGACGGTTGTGATGTTCAAGGACTCTTGGCGCGTGTCGATCAAGGATGTTCTCCCGGAAGGCGAAACTTACAAACTATTAAAGTCAAACAAAGTTCGCAACGTCGCGACATGCATCGCATTTCACGATGTAATCCACCCTGTCCCCCAGCAAAACACCCAGACCGTCAAGTTTAGGAACGCCGAATGGGCGTGTCCTAACCAAGCTGTCACTCCTCACACCCTTCACCGCCTGGTTCTCGATATCGTTGGTGAGAAGTTGACTGACTTCGAGAGCTCTCGTCAACTTGTTCAGTCTGTTCGTGACGCATTGATTGGTATGTATTTTTAAACCTGAAGCCTCGCATATTTATCTAATGTCCCTACTATCCAGCCCATCACGATGCATTTGAAAACGCAAAAATATTACACCGAGATCTCAGCGTCGGGAATATCGTCATTTACCGAGGGAAGGGGTTCCTTATCGATTGGGACCTAGCAAAGCTACTCATTATCCAGGGTCCTCGACAGACGACCCGTACGGTATGTTCAATTCACGCTCAAACTCATATTGCACTGACTTTGCTGTTACTCAGGGAACCTGGCAGTTTATGTCCGCTCACCTCGTCAAAAACATCCACGCCGTCCATGGTGTCGAGGACGACCTAGAGTCCAGTCTTTATGTCGTTTTGTGGACGGCCTTGATGTTCAAGGAGAGCTACATGAGCTCCGTTGATCGGACACAGTTTATCATGCAGGTTTTCGATGCTGATCCGCTAGTGGGGTCCGGAGGATCTGCGAAATCGAACTGGCTCGTCGCAAGAACTGATTTTCCGCGGGATTTATTCGTCGACTGCAAACCGCTCGACGATGTCGTTCTTGAACTCGCGCAGTTCTTTGCGCATCGATACTCCGTGGTTCCTCCTGAGGCGCAGGAGACTCTTGTGCAATTGCGGCTCTCATTGGCCGAAATTATGGACGGAGTTGGGCCTGCGCCCACGGCTGTACAGCGGAAAATTATGAATGCTGCACAAAACGTCCTGTTGGAGTCGGTTGCCTACCAGAAGGAGATGGGGATGAAGAAACTGCAATCACACGAGGCCGTCATCGATATTTACAACAAACACCTTGAATCACCCGGCTGGCCTGATCAGGATGCGGCTGTACTGCGAAAACTGCATCCGATTGACAAACCCAACGGACGTCGTATGTATACAAAGTCACTGTGCGCCTCGCAGGTCGTGACGGGACAGCTCACACCCGCTAGTAAGAAACGTAGGCTGGATTCAGAGGGTAATGCTGAGACCCTCAGTAATCTTGGACTTGATGATCTTGCCTCTCTCAACCAATGACACTTTAGTACAGTACTTTGGAAGCCTGTATTTCTCCTTGCCATTACTGTACACAATAAACATTTCGTTCTCGCGTGTTCTGAATTGCCAATTGCAAAATGCCCGAGCGTACTGCCCGATCAATGCCCGATGGATTCTTTATGAGCGCGCGATGAATGCCCGCCGGATGCGCAGGTCATTTAACTATGTATTAAATTTCTTGTTTTCGCAATCAACTTTTACCCACAAGAAAATTTGTGCTTTGCAACGGGAATATAAATGTCAGTCATTATATAATATTTTACTGACCATTTTATGCGCCTCAAATTTTGTATTTCCTAAAGACAAAATTGGATTGCAAAGTTTAATATCTGCATTGTCATTTTCCCGGCGGAAAACTTGAAATACTTTTATCTATCTAGACCGGACTGAAAATATTTGTCAAAATATGTTACTTTGCTCTCTCATCTCACAACACTCCAAATTTGTTATCAATTTAAATTCAAAATCCCTTATTTATCAATCTCATTTTGATTGCAGTCTGAACTTGTCCGTGAGTGAATGTCACATGATGGACGGCTCACGTGTTGACGACTTCTGCTCACTTGCGCCAAGACCACAGAGCATACAACACCATCATATATTTTTAAAAAAATGCTAGTCCTTTAGCATGTCCATCGTACCTCCGTCACTCGTGTCTTTTTTTCTCTCCTGCCTGCTGAAGCCTGCTTCTAGTTTCATTGCCCATCCAAAGCACACATCATCGAGTCTCGGATCTACTTTACCATATGCTGCTGTGCCATGTACTACTTCTGTCTCTCGGTTCGCATAAAATCCGTCGGAGTCCCCCGCTGGGGGACTCCGTTGGCTAATTACCGCGAGACCTTAGCATAAAATTGATTTAATAGACCTTGAAGGATCCATCCATGAGTGAATCTTCGAGGCATGGTAAAAGGGAAAAGATTGTTGAGCAGGTTTCCAACCTGCAACGGATCTCAATCCTGTCACACTTACCACTTGGCTAAGACTGGTCAAGACAGCACCATCCTACAAACATATCAGCTTCGTATTGTGAAGGCCATGTGCAGCCAAAAGACTGGTTCTAATTGCCGAATTCAAACGGGACACGTGGCAGCAGCGAGAAGTCACGGGCTGACTTACTTGGTGATCATCTTGTGGATTCGGTGACGTCAAACAACGATGTCAGGTCAAAACCAATCCTAGATGCCCATCATTGCACCCTCAAATCACTGGTCCTCTACAACACTGAATTGCCTCGACTAGTGTCATGCTGATCAATGCTATTCGGAGGCCGCGGTGTCCTAGAGCACGAGATGGGGCGCGACAGAACGACAGAAGCAACAAGTTTCATGTAGGTGTGGAGGTCACTCGCTACCAATGGCAGCCTGACATTTGCCCTGAATTTGGCGAAGCTGGTATAGCACGTCTTTCTAAAGCAGCACTTCCAGCTTCCAATTTGTACCAATATTAAAACGCGTGTTCAACTCCCAAAACGCGCATTAATCGGGGAAGGCGCATTAGATCATTTGTTTGAAGGAGCACTGTAAGGCCGTGCATCTCCTTACCACGAACCTCGCAAAGATGCGCAGGCGCGCTATGTTGCAGGCAACAATATTAGTCAGTCACCGCTGTGATTTATGTGCTTTCAGACGCGAGTGCAGATTGAGACGCACTAATATTTCAAGGACCATTTGGTTTCTAACCCGGGATACGTTTATCTTTTCGCAAGCCAACTTTCTTGCTGATGAGAACCGCTCGTAACATTCTGAAATGGCACTGGGAGGTGAAATTTCTGGCTTGCAAAGAAGGTGAAGTAGAATCCCTAGCATTTCATGCATGGGGCACATCTCCTGCAGTGATGTCTAGACACCCACATAAGCCCTCAGATCAGGGAACAGTTAGAGGGGCTGGTGCCCAGCGCGCATTCCTTTTAGGTTTCCCACACTTTATATTGACGATCATGGCAGCGACATCAGAAACTTAACCGGCACTTCATCGAAACCATGCAGGCAGATATAACACCAGGAAATTACGACTTGCGCACCGACCAGAGTGATGGAGATAGCAATGCCGCTGAAAATGTATCATAGTCTACTGATACGAAACAAGATCATTCCTCCGACAAGTCTTTGTTGACCTACAGATAATGAGTTGAGACGAACACAAAAATAGTTTGAACGGCTTACATGTGGGTTAAAGAACAGCGAGTTCATACCCCAAGGGTAAGGCTTGGTACGACGGTTCATGTATTCGTACTGAGGGATGTCGGGGAGGTGACCATCATGTTCTGCCTTTATGTGCTCTACATGTTCTGCATGTTCTGCTTCCACATTACGCACCCAGAGGGCACAGACAATGGCTAAAAAGGGGTGAGCAGACCAAACAGAGTGCTGGTGTTGAAACGCACTAGCTGGTACACAAACAAAGAAGCTTGCATGATGTCAACTAAGACCAACTATGTAGGAGGTATTGCACTAACCTTATTCTGCGCCAAAGCTGAGTAACCTCTGTCAGGTAAATTAAGTATTGATTATATCCACAAGACAGTGCTTGTGCGAACCTGCAGCATGGGCCCTGACCGCATCACGCTTTGCAAAATAATCACCTGCACCTGCATCGGCAGAAGAAGCGCGAGAACCTCTGGGAGCTGCGCGAGCAACAGTACGTACGGCGGTGCGAACAAACATGAATATAGGTGTTGAATCAATGTCAATGAATATTTCACGTTTAGACAGGTTTAGACGGATGAGGTCGGGAAGGTCAATTAAATCTCCGATTGAAAGACTTGTTCGTGTGTAGCGTGATGAAAGGTGACGCGTCTCATAGTATTCTTTGACTTGAAAGTCATGGTCATCCGTTCCCAATCTTCCGCGGCTGGCGTGCTCGCTCTCCTACAAGAACCAGACATCGTATTCAAGCAACATGCTCTCAAAGCACTCATTCCCCTTGTTCCTCAGTTTTGGGCTGAAATTTCGGAGCACATTGCACTTATGTATGGGTTGCCATTCCTCACTACACACTAGTCGATTCTGACCTCGGAATTCATTCTTAGAGAAAGCTTATACGAGTCCGATGACCTTCCAAAGCCTGCTCGCCATAATGCTGCTTTGCTGGCTAGCAAAGTGTATTATTTCTTGGGAGAGTATGACGAAGCCTTGTCCTTTGCCTTGGGCGCAGGGAGCGCGTTCCAGGCTGAGGCTCGCGCACATGGTGCAGGCGAATATGTTGAAACAGTGATATGTGAGTGCCAGACCCCTTGCCCTGGCCCATATTCAACTTACGTTGTTTGCTCACCTCCAAGCCAACGCAATTGACCGATACGTCACACTGCGTACTGAAGAACCTTCCGGAGCTCGACGAAGATTGATGCTCGGCTACAAGCTATAATAGAAAGCATTTTTGATCGCTGTATTGAAGAGGGGGAGTACCGCCAGGTAACTTAATCGTCGTGCATGCTACCTACTCCGAGCTCACCGCTTGTGGGCAGGCAATTGGCATTGCATTGGAGTCTCATCGTCTCGATGTTGTGAACCGTATATATAACTTGACTCACGACGTCTCCCTTCTCTCGTATACGATGGAAGCTGTTTTAGATACAGGTTTCTCTCTCTCCTACCGCGATCAAGTCCTGAACTTCCTCCTACCTCTCTTTCCTCCTCCAACATCACTGTCAAAATCCCCGCACATTCATGCACTTGCTCGGCTACTAGTCACCCTCAATCGACCGTCGCTCGTCGTTCCACTCCTTACCTCCCTCATTCCAAAGGAGAGGCTTCTTGCATATCAATTCGCATTCGACTTGGTTGAGGGAGGTGCTCGGGAATTCTTGCAGGGGGTGAAAGCCGATTTACCTGTGGGCAAGGAGGTAAATATGATCATCTACATGCCAACGATACATTAAGTGTGTTCTCTAGGAAACGCAAGACATATACGACAAGCTCCGCAAAATCTTGGATGGGCAAGAGTCTGTCAAATTATACCTGGAATTTTTGAAGCGTAACAATAAAGTAGATATGCTAATTCTGAAGAACACGAAGGTAAGTGTTCTCATGGTAGATTTAAACATCGTTAATATTCTGTCGCCAGGACGTTCTGGAAGCCCGGACGTCTATATATCATACTGCGGTCACTCTACAGAACGCTTTCATGCACGCCGGAACAACTTCTGACGTGTTCCTTCGCGAAAACCTTGAATGGCTCGGTTTGGCGTCTAACTGGGCCAAGTTTTCTACGACCGCCGCCCTCGGTGTCATTCACAAGGGTCATTTCGAGGAGGGAATGAACATTCTTGGCCCATACCTCCCCCAAGCAGGGGGCGAAAGCCAGATCCAAGGGGCCGCCTACTCCGAGGGCGGTGCTCTTTATGCTCTTGGTTTGATCAACGCTGGCTGTGGTAGCGGCCAACCTGTTGAGAACTACCTTCGCGAGACCATGAAAACCGCTCAGGGCGAGGTTGTGCAGCACGGTGCTGCTCTCGGCCTTGGTATTTCAGCAATGGGTGGAAGAAGTTCCGACGCATACGACGACTTGAAGGAGACGCTGTTCACCGATTCCGCAGTGGCCGGCGAAGCAGCTGGTTATGCTATGGGTCTCGTGATGCTTGGCTCTGCAGATCGGACCTCCGCGGATGAGATGTTGACGTATGCTAGAGAGACGCAGCACGAGAAGATCATCCGCGGCCTGGCTATGGGACTGGCGTTCATATTCTATGGTCGCCAAGAGGAGGCAGACTCTACAATTACTTCACTTTTGACTGAAAAGGTAAAAGCCCTACCATGACCATCAGCGCTCTTACTGAAGTGTCCATCCAGGACCCTATCTTACGTTATGGCGGTGTCTACACTCTCGCACTAGCTTACGCAGGGACGTCAAACAACGATGCAGTGCGCCAGCTACTGCACATCGCAGTCTCTGACACCTCAGATGATGTTAGGAGGGCAGCTGTGACCTCACTCGCCTTCCTCCTATTCAAGAATCCAGACCAAGTCCCCCGAATTGTTCAGCTCCTCAGTGAAAGTTACAACCCACATGTTCGTTGTGGCGCAACCCTAGCCCTGGGTATCGCATGCGCAGGCACCGGTCTTCAAGATGCTGTTGAGATCCTTGAGCCCATGACCAAGGACGGCGTTGATTTCGTGCGACAGGGTGCCTTTATTGCCCTTGGTATGATCTTGGTCCAACAGTCAGAAGCCTCATCTCCATCCATGTCCTCAACCCGTGCCCTCTATACTAAAGTTGTGTCTGACAAGCACGAAGATCCTATGGCACGTTTTGGTGCTGCTATTGGGCAAGGTTTGATAGATGCTGGTGGCCGTAACGTCACCATTAGCTTGCAGAGTCGAGCGGGGAGCAAAAACACCAATGCGATCGTTGGTATGACCATGTTCTGCCAGTTCTGGTATTGGTATCCATTAGCACATTGCGCGTGCCTCGCGTTTGAACCAACCGCTATCATTGGCTTGAATGAAGACTTGAAGGTGAGCACCATGCAACGCTTCTCGGCTACTTTCACTTAGCCAGAATTCAGGTGCCAAAGTTCGAGTTTGTCTCCAATGCCAGACCCAGTCTTTTCGCCTATCCACCTCCCGCCACACCTCCCAAACGGGAGACCTTCGCTAAAGCGGCTACCGCAGTTCTTTCGACAACCGCTAAGGTCAAAGCGAGAGAAAAGAGAAAAGCAGCTGCTGATGCAGATGTTATGGATACGGTACGCGTGGTTGCGTTTACAACGGACTGCTTCTTTACTTATCTATGTGGTATTTTAGGATGAGAAGCCTGAGCAAAAGAAAGATGGCGACGTTGAAATGAAAGGTGAAGAGGGTCCTGCCGGCAAGCCTACGGATGGCTCGCCTTCAACTAACGCTTCCGAAGACGTTAAGCCGAAACGGAAATCAGAGCCTTCCTCAGAGAATGTTGCGAACTTCTCCCGTGTTACCCCCACGCAACTCGCCTACATCAGCTTCCCCCCTGAAGGACGGTATCAACCCGTTCGTCCGGTATCATTGAACACAGTCCCGCCCAAGACTGGCGGCAAAGGGAACCCGAACCCTGGTGTCAGGAAGGCGCCATCTGGTGTTGCCTTAGAGCGGTACGCGGGCGGGGGTGGTATTCTCTTGATGGTAGATGAGAAGCCTGACACGGAGGCAGAGTTCATTTCGTTTGAACCCCCCGTCGTAGAACCAGTACCGACTGAGAACGGACATGCGCAACCGCAAGCCCTCGTACATAGTGCCAGACCTTCGATCCACATCGCTTTAGATGAGAATTCGCCAGACGTTGACCCTCCAGAATCATTTGAGGTAAGTGATTATTAACGATGACTAGTCACCCCGAGAGACTAAATAAAATTCACCAGTACCCGTTTGACTCGTAAACTATTATCCACGCTGTATCCTAACTGCAATCGAACATTTTCAATATTTAGAAATTTATCGTGCGATACCTTAAGTTATGTTCAATCGAGTACACAGCTTTTCGTGAGGTACCACCGCTACTCGCAAGTTTTACTGCTCGGCTCCACTCTGCAGTTGCACTCCTCGTTTGTAAAATCAGATACCGAATGTTTTAGTCGATTTCTTGAACAACCTGGGGTGAGAACTTCGTGACATGACAAGTTGAGTCACATTGTGTGATGATATGACAATGTCACGCGTGGCTGATAATGCTTTATCCTTTGTTGTGACGCGAGGGCTTTCAACATCTTGATCTTCTTTCTGGTTCTATCTCTCCCTTCCATCATTTCTTAGATTTTTGCGATCCAGCCATCCATCATGGAGTCACGTACTATGGAACACCGCAGAGCCAGTATGCTTGTCTCAATTTTTTTTTCTTGATATCAGTTACTGAAGACGCGTGTTTGATCAGATTATAAGAATAAAGGTGGTTTGAAGCAAGACGATCTTAGGCGTCGCAGAGAGGAACAGCAAGTTGAGATCAGAAGGCAAAAGCGCGAGGAGAATATCGCGAAAAGGCGTAATTTCCTCCCCTCAGCTTCAGCCGACTCAGATGAAGAAGCGACGACAAGCAGTTGGGAGCCTCCGGTGTGTACGATCTCATCCACTTTACGACTGTCTACTGAATGTCCTTGCAGCTTGCGGAAGAAATGATCAGTGGCGTGTTCTCTAACGATCCCGATCGCCAGTTGGATGCAACTACGAAGTTCCGGAAACTGTTGTCAAAGGAGAGGAACCCTCCAATCGAGAAAGTCATCGAATGCGGCGTTGTGCCTCGTTTCGTTGAATTCCTTCGGACTGGTGCTTCCATGTTGCAGGTTTGTTGTTCCGGGCCTCGCCTTGACTCAATACTAATCGGTTTATAGTTCGAGGCCGCTTGGGCGCTCACAAATATTGCTTCCGGGACCGCTGAGCACACTCAAGTTGTTATCTCCGCTGGAGCTGTCCCAGAGTTCATCAACCTCCTGTCATCGCCGGTTCTCGATGTTCGTGAGCAGGCGGTATGGGCCCTCGGGAACATTGCTGGTGACAGCCCACAATGCAGAGATTACGTCTTGCAGCAAGGAGCATTGAGGCCACTCCTGACTTTGCTAAGCGAAAATCACAAACTTAGCATGCTCAGGAACGCTACCTGGACCTTGAGTAACTTCTGCAGGGGCAAAAACCCTCAGCCTGACTGGGAACTGGTTCGTGACAAATCATGGCTTTTATGCACAGGATATTGACATCTTTCACTAGATCTCTCCTGCGTTGACCGTCTTGACCAAACTCATTTACTCGCTCGATGACGAAATTTTGATTGATGCATGCTGGGCTATTTCATACCTTTCAGATGGTTCAAACGACAAGATCCAAGCAGTTATCGAGTCAGCTGTATGTCGGCGCCTCGTTGATCTACTCATGCACAGTTCAACCTCCGTGCAAACGCCCGCCCTTCGTTCAATCGGCAACATTGTTACTGGCGATGATCTTCAGACTCAGGTCGTTATCGCGTCTGGGTCCTTGCCAGCTCTTCTTTCGCTGCTATCTTCCCCAAAAGAGGGTATCAGAAAAGAAGCGTGCTGGACGATCTCCAACATCACCGCTGGGTCGCCTCCCCAAATTCAGGCAGTCATCGATGCCAATATTATTCCCCCACTTATCAACATCCTTTCCAATGCCGACTTCAAAACGCGGAAGGAGGCCTGCTGGGCAATTTCGAACGCAACGTCCGGCGGTCTTCACGAACCAGCACAGATCCGCTATCTCGTCTCGCAAGGCTGTATTAAGCCACTCTGCGACCTGCTCACTATGATGGATAATAAGATCATTCAAGTTGCCCTTGATGGTCTCGATAACATTCTGAAGGTCGGTGAGACGGATAAACAGGCTGGAGGTCCCGGATCCATCAACCAATATGCTCTATATGTCGAAGAGGCAGGCGGTATGATCACCATTCACAACCTCCAATCACACGACAACCTGGAGATATATAAGAAGGCGTTCAATATCATGGACAAGTACTTCCCAGATGAGGAGGAAGTGGATGCAGCAATTAGCGCTCCTAACGTTGATGCCAGTGGTGCATTTGCCGTAAGTTCACTGATATTGTCCTCCTCCGTCTACTAATTATCTGTGCAGTTCCACTCAGATGTCACTGCTCCTCAAGGAGGCTTTAGTTTCGGCCAACAGTAAACTGTTGGTCCTGTTGATTCGTCTATCTCTTACTGCGTGCTACTGTCACTTATATCTTGCACCAACCATTATCGTTCAACTCCCCATTCTGTTTGCAACCCGTGATCTCCCCTTACTCTTTACGCTTGTGCAGTATCTTACATGTAACGCGTCTAACGGACGCAAATTCCTTTGTGACAGAACAATATATGTCAGAGCACGAGAAAATGATTCAGTGTAGTAGCTGATAATGGTGATTATTGGTAACCTGTCCTACCTATGATGTCTGTTATGCGATAGATGAAATTTACAACATGATTGATCTGAGTGCTGGTGGCATGTCTCGCCCGTCTTGCTTTGCGCCACTACAAGCTCTACCATCATGGCTTCTCAAATCCTCCCACTAGGCGAGTACAAAAGACAACAAAGACCATCGATCATATTCCTGACAGCCTCGCAGAACTAATTGACAGATGCATTGGATCCCGGATATGGGTCATCATGAAGAGTGATCGTGAGTTTACTGGGACGCTGCTTGGCTTCGACGATTTCGTGAGTGAGTCGGCCACTGTTTCCCTACGCGATAAAACTGGTATTGAACATTCCTACGCGCAGACATGGTGCTAGAGGATGTAACAGAATAGTCAGTGAGACTAAATGATGGCGATTTCCTGTTGCTGACGGTCGTCCTCAGCGAGACTACTCCTCAGGGAAGAAAGAAAACACGGCTCGCGCAGACGCTTCTCAATGGCAACAATATTTGTATGGTGTGTAATATTCTTTTACTGAATGTTCGGGTGGGGGATGACATCTGCCTCCCTAGTTAATTCCAGGCAGCGAAGGTCCTGAGTCGGACTCGTGACCTATGAAAAGACACAACAGTGGAAAAGTCAACACGTCCGAGCTCTTGCACTCTCAGTTCAAGGGCTGCTTGTAGGAGAACTTTCACTAGCACTGGCGTCATGTTGTTCGAGTACGTATGGTAAATCTCGGTGATATTGTGGACATTACGAGCACCACATCCTTTCATCCAAACCAACTATGTATGATCTATAAAACTTGTTGCCCGTCCACTGCGATTCCTGGATTGTACTTAGGTCACAATAAATGTATAGTAGCCTAGACTTTAGTCCAATTGAATTTGTGAACACTCACGCGCGTACTTCAAGGTACTTCAGCTCGGGACGCGAAAACACGTCCCTCCAAATAGTAGTAAACACGACTTTCGCTCTCGCTCTCTTCCAGACATACTACTTGTCAGTTCACCATGCCTGTCCGCCTCAGGATGGCCATGCACGGCCGGAGACACAATCGTATATTCCATTTAGTCGCCATTAACCAGCGCACAAGACGAGACGCAAAGCCTATGGAGCTTTTGGGCATCTATGATCCTGCTCTTAAGCTCGGGGACACACACAAGACTGTCAAATGGAGTGTGGACAGAATAAAGTACTGGTTAGGTGTTGGAGCACTGCCTAGTAAATCTGTAGTCAAGCTATTGGAACGTGTAAGTCCGCCTTTGTTATTCGTACGCTTGTTGGTACTAAAGTAAATAATATTCAAGGGTGGTGTATTACCGCCAGACTCCAAGTATCACCCGAAGGTTTCGGATCCAAAATTTGGCACGGAGTCATCAAAAGACAGTCCCTCTGGCTCAACGAGTAGCTCTGGAATGACTTCAGCTACGTTGTAGTTCTCGTGGTGCCTGAGGAAATCTTGAGCAATTCGACGTCGCTGTGGGGTGGGTTCGTTCCACCGTCTGTTAAGAGCAAGGAGGAAGTCGTATATTACCACTACAGCTTTGCATATGTAGATTGCAGCCATAATTGCATTATCATTCAAATATCTTCTATTTATTCAGGAGGTCATATATCTCTTGATGTCCAGCTACCTGAGCCAGCTCTGCTGCAGTGTAATCGTCGGGATCCTGCCCAATCACGAAGTCAGTATTTGAATCATAAGGTTCCATGCCTTACTTTCAATAGAGGATCCCCTCCCTTGCTCAGTAACGCCTGGACTACTGGCAAGTTCCCTCTGTCACAGGCCAGATGAAGGGCGGTATAATCCTGTCACTAGAACTTGAGTTTTGCGTAGAGAAGCACCGGTGAACGTACAAATTCATCGCGTGCGTTTATATCGACCGCTGGATTTACAAGCAAGAACGCCATCAACTTCTCTGCATCTCCCGCGATAGCCAATCCGTGCAGCGTCTGAGCTTCACCCAAATCTGGGCCCGGATTGACCAGTAAGCTGACAGATGTTCCCATCCCGCCGCCGCCACCTGAAGACTCCGAGCCAGTAGAGTCATTCTGAACACCTCCATCCACGCCTCCATCCTCCGATCGCTTCCCAGGCGCATTGCTGGGAGTAGAACCTGGTTTCCATCCCAGTTCCTGAGCGATTGCTTGATACCGCTGTGCCGCGGCGTGGCCATCGTTCTCATACGCATCGCTCGCCGCTTTCCATGCGTCCCACTTGGCACGTCCTGTCATGTCAAAAATGTATGGCCTTGAGCCCTGCGGCTTTGGCGCCACCTTGAGATATTTAAATAGACCATACAGCTGTGAACAAGTTAGAGAATGGATAAAAGTCAAGAGTACTATGTTGACCTCAAGCTTGATGGTAGTGGAAACCTTTGAGAGGGACGGTGCGGATGATAGATAGCTTGCTGCTTCATCTATGTCTAGGGACGAAGTAAATGACATCGATGAACGATTGATGAACGATTATGTAAGCCCAAGAAACCCAACAATAAAAATAATAGATTGAACTGTAGTAAACTGGTATAGCGGTAATATCTATCTATACGAGACCTGCCGCCTTCATTGCCTTTCCCGAAAGTCAGCATACCATTGTAAGGAATCAAAGGTGAACAAACCTTGAGCATCTCAGCACCAATCTTTGCCGGACTGTCCGTCACTATAACACCAGCTCTCTCGAGAGCAGCAACCTTGTCTACTGCAGCGCCTGC